GGCGGGGCCCCCTCCCGCAGGCCCGGCTGCCCCGGGGAAGCCCCTCCCGCTGTCCCCTGAGAGTGACTGGGCCACCCTGGCTGACCGGCAGCGACAAGGTAGTCGTCGTCCTCCGGGTAGAAAGCACTCTGGGATCTTCTCCCAACCTGGGATGAAAACAGCTCTCCCTTCTCAGACCTGCCGTGCGCCCGGCCCCCCTTCCGGGGGGTCTTCAGGGCCCGCCTGGAAGGAGGCCACCGGGCGTCCGCGGGGCAGCGCCTGGTTCGCGTCCGCGCCTCTGAGCCAGGCGGGCTCGTGCAGGGCGCCCATGATGGCCCGCTGCTTCCCCTGCAGGGGCAGGAGCCTCTGGGTCTCCAGGAAGGAGAAGGCGCTGGGCACGGGCTCGGCCGGGGTGCCGTCGGTGAAGTAGATAAAGATGACCACGAAGAGGAGCCCCCAGGCGAATATCCCCAGAAGCATTCGCTGTCTCCATTGCTTCAAGTGTGGTTTCATGGCAGGGCTCGGAGGTTGGCACCCGGTGTCCTAGAGCGGGCGGGGGTAGACGGAACCTGAAAAACAGCCAGACGCTGGGGTTAGCCCTCTGGGATGCCGGCTCAGACACAGCTGGGGACATCTACCCACGCAAGCGTTTCTGTACCGGGGCTGTGGAGGGGGGATCAGAAGCTGGGATCGTTCAGGAGCTTTAGCTAAATCCAGGGCTCATGGCCACCCCCTCACCTCTGCAAGACAAGGGGATGGGCGTCTCAGCGAGAATCATGGGAGAATGGGGTGGGTGAGTGTGTAATTGCAACACCTTCCCCAGGTGACTCAGGGACGTGTCTACCTCCGCACTTGGAGAAACACTTAGCAGGGCACTGGCCAGCCGACTCCCCCTGCATCTGTGTTTATAGAGTTCCAATGTGCTAAAGCAAAGCTGGAGAGTTACGTACACACGGCCCTCCCTTATCTACTCCTTAGGCGGATCGCCAAGGAATCAAACTCATATGTTTTGCAGCAGCACTGCTGTGCGCTTCTAAGACACGACAACCGTATCTGATCCTTCATGGTCTCCCACACCAGGGAGGCTGCCCGGAACACACTGGAAGTCCACCGATGGGGTGGATGAAGCCAGGCTTCCATGGCTGCCACTGTGGGTGAGTGCTATGCCAGGTGCCTGTTGACTTCATAAATGCCCCAAGCATGCGTGGATGCCCTTCTCCTTCACTCTTACCATGAGCCACTGGAGGGACATGAGGGGACTACTTTATTTATTTTCTTTCTTTTTTTTGGGTCGGAGTCTCACTCTGTCGCCCAGGCTGGAGTGCAGGGGCAGGCTCACGGCCACCCCAGCGTCGACCAGCTGGGCTCAGGTGATCCTTCCACCTCAACCTTCCACGTAGCCGAAACTACAGGTGCACGCCACCACACCCGGCTCATTTTTTCATTTATCGTAGAGATGAGGTCTCGCCAACTTGCCCAGTGGGCAATGCACGAACCCGTGGGCTCAGGCAATCCTCTCACCTTGGCCTCCCAGAGGGCTGAGATTACAAGCTCGAGCCCCCGCGCCCAGCCGAGGGGGCTACTTTAAATTAGGGGGAGAGGAGGAGAAAGCCTGCTGGGTTCTAGAGAGACTGCACCAGAGGAAGGCTGAAGAAGGAGGCAGAGTGAAAAGCATCAGCTGCAGTGAAAGAGAAGGAACCCTCCTCGCCACAGTGTCGCAACTGATGCTCGCAGCTGCATGCTGATTCTTTCGAAGGGAAGCAGTCAGGAAGCAGCTAGGGGTGCCTCCCTCATGGAGAGGGGCTGAAACAGCAAGCAGATTTTCGCTCTTCAGGGTACCCTCTGGGAGAACCCACTAAAGTCCAGCCGAGAAGTGACAGGAACCACGAAGAGCAGAGGGGAGGGAGGCTGGGCCCCCGTGAGGGGCCAGGGGAGCACGTGCCATGCAGGGAAGGGATGAATGCTAGAGAATCCAGGTCCACACATATGCCATGGGCCACTGCACCCCTAGTCATGGCAAAGTCCCTCTTGACATCCATTGCTCCAGTCTGGCACAGGAAGCAGCCCAGGGGCTGGCAAGAGGCACCACTCAAGCCCATGTCGCACCCAACGGGCTGTTGCTCCCAGAGGGGCTGAGCACCTGCTGTGGCCACCCACCAGAAAAGGAGGCCAGGAGCTCTCGTGCAACCCCACTGTGGATCGCACTGCATGAGTGCCCCCTCTGACCTCTCACCTTTCTGGCTCCTCGCTAAGGGCATCTCGCTCGTTTCAGAGACCGGCCCCCTGCTCTTGCGTGAATGCTGCAGCCATGGCTTGACTCCAGAAAGCCAACAGCATGTAGAAGTGGCCACCACCACTGCCTCTGCCCTGCCAAATGCGGGCCAGGGAGGGAACAGGGACACAGGGCACCCCCATGGCTACTAGCCAGGTGGGGCACCACCTGCCATTTGTGGCTTGAGGACGGAGTAGAGAGACGGGATGGGTCTGTGTGCCCACAAAATGGAGGTCACAGAACCCTGCTCCCACAGTGTCCGACCAGGTGGGGCTCTGCTACCCTGGCCTCGCCTGAATACTGCATGAGCGGCTTAGTGCTTCACTGAGGGCCTCACTCCTAGAGGTCGCTGCCGGACCCTTCGCAGCAGCCACCGCCACTGCCTCTGCCCGTGCTGCCCATGGGTGAGGGAGGGAGTGGAGAGGCAAGACAAGTCCAGGTGCCCACAGGATGTATGCTGCATACCCTGCTTCCACGGCCCCTTCCCCTCCTGGCTTCCTACCAGGCGAGACCGTTCTGCTTCTGCAACAGGCCCTCTGGTGCCTCACAGCTGCCCCATCTCCTCCTGGGCACTGCAGCTGTGACTCGGGAGGACTTCGAGGTCACAACCTTCAGAGGTTGCTGTTAGACCCCCAAAGTCACCACATGCACTGCCTCTGTCCTTGCAGCCGATGGGTCAGGAAGAGAAGGGTGAGCCGGGTCACTTAACAAACCCAGTCAACCACATACAACATCACAGTCATATGCATAAGACAAAAAAAGAAGATCTTTAAAAACCTCATCCTAATGCAAGTGAATTTCAGAGAAAAAGAAGAGTCAGCTCCCCCAGATGAGAAAGCACAAGCGTAAGAACTCCAGCAAAACCAAAAGGCAGAGTGTTTTGACACCTACAGAGGACTGCAACAGCTCACAGCAATGGACCCTCACTAGAAGGACAGGTCCAAATGACAGATATAGAATTCAGAATATGGACAGCATATTCTGTGAGATCCAATCAAAAGTAGAAACACAAAGATAAACCGGTCATGAAAATTATCCAAAACTTGAAAACTGACATGGCCATTGAAAGAACCAAACTTCCGGCATTGAGGCATTCACTTCGGGAATTCCAGAATATACTTGCAAACCTTAAAGACAGTCTTGACCAAGGAGAAGAAATAATTTGGAGCTTGAGGACTGATCCTTCAAATCAACTCAGTCAGACAAAGAATTTAAAATATGAATAAAGCCTTCGGGAAATATGGGATTCTGTAAAGAGACCAAACCTACATCTGATTGGCATTCCTGAGAGAGAAGATAATGGAAACAATATGGAAAAAGTATTTTAGGGCATAATCCAAGAAAAATTCCTTAATCTTGCTAGAGAGGTTGACATGCAGATACAAGAAATTCAGAGAACTCCTGTGAGATACTACACGAGACAACCGTCCCCAAGGTCCGTAGTTATCAGACTATCCAATGTCAACATGAAAGAAGAAAATCTTCAAGGTAGCTAGGGAGAAGGACCAGATCACCTACCAAGGGTGACCCATCAGAATGACAGCAGATCTCACAACAGAAACCCTATGAGCCAGAAGAGATCGGGGGCCCATTTTTAGCAATCATAAAGAAAAGAAATGCCAGCCAAGAATTTCTTAACCCCCCCAACTAAACTTCATAAACGAAAAAGAAATAAGGTCTTTCTCAGATAAGCAAGCACTAGGGGAATTAGTCACCAACACACTGGCCCTGCAAGAGATGCTTGAGGGAGTTCTAAACACGGAAATGAAAGAACAATGTCACCTGACACAAAGCACACATAAGCACATTGTGCACAGACCATTTAAATCAACCACAAAACAGAGAATACAATGAAACTTGTTAACAATCAATATGACAGGAACAAATCCTCCCACATCAGTAGTAACCTTGAATGTCAATTGCCTAAATGCTCCACTTAAAAGACAGTGTCACAAACTGAATAAAACAAGACCCATCCTTCTGCTGTCTTTAAGAGACCCATCTCACTTCTCATGATACCTATAGGTTCAAAGTAAAGGGATGGAAAAGGTCACCATGCAAACCGAAAACAAAAAAGAGCAAGGGCTGCTATTCTTGTATCAGACAAGACAGACTCTAAAACCAGCAGCAGTTTAAAAAAAGAAAAAGAAAGGAAAGAAAGAAAATAAAATGAAAGGCACTATATAATGATAAGAGGCTCAACCCATTAAGAAATATTATCCTAAACATAGATGCTCCCAACATTGGAGCACCCAGATTTATAAAACAATTACTACTAAACCTAAGAGAGGACTTAGACAGTCACATTATAACAGTGGGGAATGTCAACATCCCACCAATAGCTTTAGATCGATCATTCAGGAAGAAAATTAACAAAGAAATCTTAGATTGGTACACGACATGTGACCAATTGGACCTGATAGATATCTATGGAATACTTCACCCAGCAACCTTAGAATATATATTCTTCTCATCTGCACATGGAACATAATGTAAGATTGACCACATGCTCAATCATAAATGAAATATTAATACATTTCAAAATCATACCAAGCATCTTTCCTGACCACAGCAAAATAAAGAAAATCAACAGCAAGAAAAACCCTCAAAACCACCCAAATACATGGAAACTAAACAATTTGCTCTTGAATGACTTTTGAGTAAACAACAAAATCAAGACAGAAATTTAAAAATTATTCAAAACAAACAAAAAAAGACACAACTTAACAAAACATCTGAGATGCTGCAAAAACAGTGCTAAGAGGAAATGTTGTAGCATTACATACCCACATCAAGAAGATAAAAGGATCTCAGATAAGCAGCCTAACCTTTCAACTAAGGGAACTAGAGAAGCAAGAACAAGCTAAAGGAAAGTAGCAGAAGGGAAGAAATAACCCAAATCATAGCAGAACTAAACAAAACTGAAATGAAAAAAATCAAATACACAAAGGATCCATGAATTGAAAAGCTGGTTTTTCGAAAGGATAAACACATATGCACCCAACATCGGAGCACCCAGATTTATAAAACAATTAGAGAGAATGTGAATACAAATAAATATAATCAGAAACAAAAGGATGATGTTACAACTCATCCCAAAGATAAACAAAAGATTCCCAGAGATAACTGCAAGCATCTGTTATGTGTGTAAACTATAAAATCTAGAAGAAATCGACAAATTTCTGAAAACATGCAATCTCCCAAGACTTTGTTTTGTTTTATTATTTTATTGTATTGTATC